CTAGAACTCTCCTTAAAAGAACTTGAAATAGGCCTTTTGACCAATACAACGGCTGACCAGAAATTAATGTTAAAAAATCAAAGGAAAACTACAGGTCGAGTTCACTTTCTTCAGTGAGTAACTTATCATTGTCGTTCACTGCTACAATCAAGCAGATATATATATATATATATATATATATATATATATATATATATATATATATATATATATATATATATATATATATGAATTGTACATAACGTGATTGTGTTAAAACATTGCTCGATGTTATACCAGAGATCTATTAAGTATATATTACTAAATACACATTTGATCCCTCACCGTTCATACGACTCGTAATTTCATGCAAAACGCAATCTTCAGGGGCTGAGTTTGGATTGACCGTTACGTGAATTGATTTTCAAATATATCTGTTTATCGTAAAGCTGGCAGAGTTAAGTATGATATATATTGGGATTATAGTTATTTAAAAACTATATCACTTCAAAAAAACTTTTTAAAAAAGCAAAATATTTTCAAAAAATTCTTTAAAATTAAAAAAAAATATATATATATATTTTCAAAACATTATATTTGTCAATTAAAATAATTGGGATTAGCATATGAACGTAAACGATGTGTATCTATTTATAATTATATTCTAATTTTATTTTAGTTTTAGTGGGTTATTAATTATTCAATTAAAAAGAGCTGACTTAATCGTATTTAAAAATAGTAATGTTACAAATTAAACAGCAATTATTAACAATAAGTTATAATATATAATAAACCATAATATACACGAAAAATTGAAAATTAATCTGGATTTACATGCTTAAGTAGATATTTATTTTTATGCCTTAAGTTATAAGTTTAAGTTATCGCACATTGAGTGTTAATTTTAAAAAACAGTGAACCCCATATAATATATGGACCAGATATATTTTATTCAAATTTAAATTATTTAACTGTCAGTCACTACTCGGCACCTGAATATTGCGTTGTGCATGAAATTCCATGTCTTGCTTACCGGCGAGGAAAAAATTATATATATATATATATATATATATATGTGTGTGTGTGTGTGTGTGTGTGTGTGTGTGTGTGTGTGTGTGTGTTGTGTGTGTGTGTGTGTGTGCAACTATCTGTCGCTATATATTTACTATATTTTTTACATACGGAGAAAAACAACTTGCTAACTACAAAGATGCATTCTTGTTTCTATGCGACTGCATCTCGACTGGTGGGAACCAAAAATGGTTAGGAACAATTTACAAGCAAGCCGCTTATAGGAAAAAAATCCTACGGGGAGACACCTTAGATAGAAACGAGGAGGGGTAAAAAAAAAAAGGGAGAAAACGAGAAAGAAAGGATAGAGGGTGACAGAGTAAGACAGTATTATTTGTTGGTAGCAGTTTGACCGGCAAAGAAATATTGAAGCGTTAAAAGACAAGAGCCTGACCTTAAAAATTTAAAAACAAAGCGGAAGCGTCCGCTACAGCCATTAATACCGTGCAACGGTCAGAAATCTAAGCAAAGTACGCCAAAACTCCCGAGGGATCTTAAAACAAAACCAGAGCAGAATTACCCAGATTTTAGATCTTTAATTTGCCTTTTGTAGGAGGATTATAGGTATAATATTGCAATCTTCCTAAACTTTTAAATTTATAACTCACCTCCTTTGTATATTTTCTACCTTCTTATATATTTTCCTACTAATCGAGCTTAGATTATGATTCTAAACACAATCTGCACATATATAATACTAGACAAAGTATCAGATAAATTGAATTTATAAAGGAACCAATAAATTGCTTGAAATTTATTTTGCAACAGAAGATGTATATCGTTTTCTTTGAAGTTTAAATAATATATATATATATATATAATATTATAATTATTTTTAAAAAGATATGATTCCTTCGCTACATAAGAGTTCTCATGTTTCAAAAACAAGAGCCAAAAATCTCAATATAATTATTGAAATTAAATTGAATAAAAGTATCAAGCCCTGTTTCATCCTCAAACGAAAACCATTTTTTAATATTTTTTAATATTTAATAAACCATTTCTTAATATTTAAAAAAAAAAATTATAATTTAAGCTCTACTCCTGTGAGGAGCACTGTTTTTTAAAAATAAAAACAAAAATACTAAAGAACCCCTGATTATTTACCTAACGTGTTCTTTCCTATTTTTCTACATATTTGAACACACACACACACACACACACACACACACACACACACACACACACATATATATATATATATATATATATATATATATATATATATATATATATATACACATTTTTGAGTGTGTCTTACAACTTTTTATTTGGAAGTTAGATACAATTTTGGTTTCTTCATTAAACCGTAAACACACTTTATGTGTGGTAAACAATTTTTTTTTATAAATTTCTAATTTTGGCATAATACGCCCGCCATAATAATTCCAAGTGTGTTGCCGCGGGTAATTGCATTAGAAATGCTATGAGACCGCCAGGTGGCTTCTCATGATTCGTCAACGGAAATTCTCATCTTTATTTGTTTAGTAATTATTATTATTGTTATTATCATTATTATTATTATTTTGTTTTCTGTTGTAAACCACGTTTCCTTCCGGATCCACCTAAGGTTAGAAATGGCGTCATTATATTTTCCTGTGGATATTTCTGTAAAAAAAAAAAAAGGATATAAAACAACCTAATTTCACACACATTTTACTTTGATAATATTATGAGCTGTACGTGTGAGAAAATTTTTTTGTATTTCTTTAAGTCATTGGTTATCAGGTATCCCTTCAATGAGTGTATCAGAACCTTTTCAATCAAACAGTGTAAACAACTGGTATTAGTGATGTCTTCATGTGCCCATTCCTGGGATTTCCACTTCAAGATCCTTGCATTTGGATAGTTTTTTTTTTAATTTTTCAAAGCTATATAGAATTATTATTATTATTATTATTATTATTATTATTATTATTATTTCTGATGTATACTCATTTGTGTCCGGGTCCAGGGACCTAAGGCCAGAAATGGCATCATGACATTTTCCACTGAGCTGTTTTGAAAAAAGAAATAACCCCAAAAAACTCATATTTTACATAGATAAAGCCCTTTGTAATGTGTGGGCTGTAGGTGTGATAAAAATATTTTGTATTTATTTAAAGTATGGGCTTCCAGGAATTCTTACAATGTCTCTATTGTAATATTTTGCAATCAATCCAAGGGCTCCAACTACAACTGGAAATATTGATGTCCTCATGTGCCACATTTTTGAGATTTTGATTTCAAGGTCCTTGTATTTTGATAGTATTTTCAATGATACATTACAGTCTTCAGTGACTGGCATGTCAATAAGAAGGAACATTTTGTTTTTCCGGTCTCTAATCACGATGTCTGGGCTTTGATTGTTCTGTATGAGTGTATTCTAAAGTCCAATAAAATTGTCACATGTCCTATTTCCTTAACCTGTAAAAAGATTTTCCAGTGCAGATATTGGCACACTCTGTCATTACGATTTTTTCTTTATTCTGTGGGTGCCAATACTGTGCAACCTGATAACAAAAATGGTCCATTGTTTCTGGATATATATCACAGAATCTTTATTTTGGATTAAAACAATTTTTCAGTATGTCCGCTTGATAATTTCTAGTTAACACTCAGTGGTCCTCTGCAGCAAGAATGAAACATTCGATTTCAGCTTTTAACCCTGCACTAAGTAGCCACTGATAGGTACGAGGTTTGTCTACATCAGCTTCATTGGTCGATTGCATTTACCTTAGCTTTCTTTTCTAAGTATTTTTCAAATTATTATTATTATTATTATTATTATTATTGTTGTTGTTGTTATTATTGTTATTATTGTTGATTTTTATTATTATTATTATCATTTAGTGGTGAATAAAAATGTATTTGTTTATTTTAATATTCAGGAATTACTATACAAAAAAAATGAAAATGGTTTGTTTAATAAAGCAACCGTAAAACTCCATGATCCTATAAATTTTGGTGGTATTTGTAATAACGGAGATATAAACTCAGCTGAAAGTAAAAATACAAACGCGTCACTGAAAATATTTGGACAATCTCTGGTTTGGTTTTACGTTTGAAAGTTTTGTTTTTATCGGTGTTCAACCCGCTGTATAATCCCAGCCCTTAATATATCGAGGGATATTTTTAGCTAGATTGTTTTATACACGGGTTATAAACATAAGGTTTTATAATCCCGGATATAAACTGGTCTAGACGAGAATAAATCTATGTGAGCAACAATATACACTCTCTTTTTACTATGTCGGAAGATGAATTATTCAGAGATGATTGGGAAACTATGTATTATGCAATTCTGGAGCGTTATGGAGCCCTGAATTGTATTCTGATTCCTTGGTTTGCATATTAGGATATTTGATATTGTTTAGAACAATTGAAGATGTGCCATTTTTCTCATTGGACGCTGTTGTTTTGTGCATGCAGTCTAGAGACAAACATTTATTTTATTACTAACAACTTCCTGTACTAAATAGCATCGTATTTGCATTTGCTCAAGAGCTGTGTTACTACTATAGGTTATTAGATAACCGAATGCGCTTTTCTTTGTTTCTAACGAAATACTTCGCTAAGCTTTTGGAAGACTGCTATCTCATTGCAATTCATTTATCCAAATATATCTCCTAGTCAGTCGGAAAAGATTATTTTTACAAATTTATTCGGAATGGATGTGTAAACAGAGATGTTTAAACCAATTCTTTCTTTTTCTTTGGGAGAAAAATTGGTTGATTCATTAATTCGTTTTCTACGGCTTTTCAACTCATTGCATTGAATCTATTTTTACATAATAATGATTTACTATTTAACCCATAGATTGGAGGAGAATAGGTGGATTCTCATGTTCCACAAAGTTATTTGCGCGGAAGTGAGTAAAATGAACCCAACTGGAATTGCAACTCGGCTCTCCGATTAACAGTTCCAAGCATTACACCACCTTCATTACACCACCTTGCACCATATGCAAGCTTACTGCACCTGGTATTCCCAAGCAGTCACCCATCTAAGTTCGGACCAGGCTCGACGTTGCTTCACCCCGCTGATCGTACGGGAACCGGTGTTTCAACCTTATGTGGCCGTAAGATTGCATCTTGAAGATCGTAGTTGACAGAAAAGCAAGAAACCAGAATATTCTTCCACAGGCGTGATGTATTCCCAAGCGGTCACCCAAGTAGGTACTAAGCCGGCTCGACGTTGCTTAAGTTCTTTGATCGTACAGGAACCGATATTTCAACGTGATATGGCCGTAACCACAGCATGAGTTGAGGCTCAGAGCTGAATACATATTTATGTTGAAAATATGTTATGTTAAAGTTACGAATTACTTAAAGTTCCCCTATGTTAAATGTCTTTACCGATTAATGAACGTTCTGAAATGTCTCATGCTAAAAGGACCAAACACACATTTCTTACAGTTTGACTCTTTAGTGGAAGGGATTTTAAACATTATAATAGGAAAGGTGAGTTTGGAGAAGAGTATGAATTTCGTTGATATCTCACAAATAATAATCAACTTGAATAAATCAAGCAGATTTGATCATAAAGGCGCTCTGTCTAATTCACTCAGAAAAAAAAAAAGTTTGATGTTGGGAGCGTTTTGTATCGGAAAAAAAGTAGAAGTTCGAATTTAGACCAGAGATTTTTGTAAACTCAAACGGTGAACACTTGATGCCATTCTTATGATATCAACACATACTTGCTTGATACTTCGTCAATGCCCACAAATACTTGTTGTCACACTTGCAATGCTCGCTGTAGTAGAGACTTTTTTTAATCGCATATACCACTGTAGTACGCCGTTGAACATTGCAGGGGTTAGACAACTTCGAATAATATCGCACTAATAGGATTTTGTATAGTAATAGAGTAGAGAATAGAGAACCCTATAGTATAGAGATAGCGGACAATATAGTATAGAGGATAGACTAGAGATAGCAGAAAATACAGAGTAGAGGAAAGACTAGAAATAGCAGACAATATCGTACAGAGGATAGACTAGAGATAGCAGACAATATAGTATAGAGGACAGACTAGGAATAGCGAATATATTAGAACGTCCTGGGTATGGCGATAAACTACATCCGCGTCCTGGGTATGGCGATAAACTACATCCGCGCCCTGGATATGGCGATAAACTACATCCGCGTCCTGGGTATGGCGATAAACTACATCCGCGCCCTGGATATGGCGATAAACTACATCCGCGCCCTGGGTATGGCGATAAACTACATCCGCGCCCTGGGTATGGCGATAAACTACATCCGCGTCCTGGGTATGGCGATAAACTACATCCGCGCCCTGGGTATGGCGATAAACTATGTCCCCTGGATATGGCGATAAACAAGGCCTCATGATAATGTTTTTCCGCGAAAAACTAATCCGCGTGGGTATGGCGATAAACTATACCGCGTTTTATGACGATAATGTTGTCCAACAGCAAGGCCTACAGATTTTCGAAAAAATAATGTTGCCAGCTATACGTTTTTTGGGAAAAAATAATGTTGCCAGCTATACGTTTTTGAAAAAGTAATGTTGCCAGCTATACGTTTAAAAAATAATGTTGCTGTATATTTTTGAAAAATATATATATATATATATATATATATATATATATATATATATATATATATATATATATATATATAACTTAATTTGGCATTAAATGACCTACAGTGGTTGATATACCATAAAACCCAACCAACCAACCGAACATTAGACGTCACGCGACTTACTCTGTATATGCGTTTCCTCTATGGTCACGTAACCTACTTAATTCAATAATGAGATCGCCTGTGTTTGTTTACTGCCGATTTATGTTCAAACACAAATGTCGGCAGCGACACTTTATTTCTTTACAACAGAGATAAAAGCTAGTAATGTTATAAATCTGAGAGAAAGTTAATGAAGAGTCAAGTAACAAGTAAAAGGATCATTACTAGGCAACTGTGTGTGTTGTGGTGTAATGGTTATCGGCTCGGAATGAGAAATCGGAGAACAGAATTCAAGTCGAGTCGGTTACATTCATTTACGTGCAAATACCCTTGAGAAATATATAAATCTATTTATTCTTCTCCCACGTATTGGTTAAATTGCAGGAAATTCTGGGTCTTGTCGTCTTTTGTTAACAGTCTAGCGCAGAAAGAAACGCCTAGTGAATCGAAAGAGACATGACCGCCCCAGCGTGTATCACTTGACTAATTAGTGAAGAGACAGGATACTATGTACAAATGAGGTGATCTTTAAATTTTAAAAAAATATCCCTCATAGGAGCCGTCTAATACAACAGTTACAAAAAGCTAACCTTAAATCCTGTGCTTTATCGGCACTTGTAAGTAGGCTAGTATGCTTGCGCTGTGGATCACAGTAAGACTAAGAGTTACCTCTTACGTCATATTTGTAGTTGAAACAATTCACATTATTATGCTGTTCTACAGTTATAAATGTAATAAAACTACTTCAACTTTTTGATTTCACATAAAATCGCAATATTCAAGAAACTGATTTTGCATTAAGTTCCAATATTCAAGAGAGTTTTATACAGCAATTTACAAAGGATCTGCTGAGCAACACGCACAAGTAACGAATAACATAAACACAACTTCGTTCATGGTTTATGGACGGTGCATTCAAACGAATCATTATTTCCCATAGTGGTGTTAACTAACAACATTTAGGATAACATAATCTATATTTATATAATTATACACTGCGTGCCAAATTATTATCGAGATAACTTTTTTCTAATATTTCAAAAACAGTCCAATCAATTCACACAAAACTTTCACACAATGTTGGCAACACTGACCTGCGCAATCACGGAAATTTTCGTACTGATCTGCGCAATGTAAACAAACTGGCGCAAAAAGTTATCTCGATAATAATTTGGCACGCAGTGTATATATAATATATATTTATAATTAAAATTCATTATCTTTGTGGTTAAATAACATTTAGTATAACATGAAAACTTTATATTCTAATATTATATATTATACGATATTTTTGCGGTGTTAAGCAACAAAATATTTAAGATGTAATACAATCTTTATTTCTCATTACATAATAATAAAGCGTAAGACAGCCGCATACATAATTAACACCTTCAAAATTACTATAATCATCACCATGTGACACGACTATTGCGTCATAAACATCGTCCTTTACGGTGTCATCATATGGGTACTAGTAGGTCGTCTTATACTACGGATATCAGACAAAATCACAAACGTTTACCTAGATTTTGGGTCTCGTCTTTTTTATAGGTCACCCTTATACGTGGAAATATACGGCAAATGGATGCAGTGTCATAACAACAGAGCGGGTATTACAAGTCAAAACATATTGGCCAAGACTAAGATACCAAAGAAACTAACATTCCCTACAGAAGAGAAAGAGAGAAACATTGCGTCCTTTTCTTTTTGATTGCTATTTGGTAATTTCATTTAGCTGTCGCTAGCCGAAGTTCCTTGACGGACAAGTGAGGTTAATCCCACAATTCTAATGCAAGAGCGTACATCTGAAAAGTAGGTGGTACAAAACAGATATACAATGATAATTGATAATCAAAGACAATATAGAGCAAATATACAAAAACGAAGAACGGTGATAGAGATCAGATATTTTTAGGGGTTACAATAAAAGCAATGATGCAAGAAAGTTACTGAAAGATTGGGTAGTAAGCGGCAAAAATTAAATCACAAGATATAACAGAAGATGAAATATTTCAATATGGTTGATTACCTTCCCACACGTGACATAAAACAATTTCCCCAATGATGAAGTGATACGTGCCACAAATTTAGCCTTCTCAAGGAATTGATCTTAATCCACTGTACCTGTCGGGGATATTGAAAATCCATGTATATAACCGCAAAACAAAGAACTCGGAGATTTGGATTTACTATCAAGAACGAACGTTTGTTTGGTTTGTTTTGTTTTACAGCATATTATCCTCAACGGGTTATTTAATACCGACAAGATATTTATTGCTGGTAATTTTTTTTCAAAAATGCATTGCTGGTAATTCTTTTTCCAGAAATTGATTCCTAGTAAAAATTTCCTTTACAAAAATGTATTGGCGGTACTAAAACATATTTGTACACTTTAATAGTGATTTGACCCCAGTTTGATGCTATTTGCCCATATCTGGTATCCCGGGTCAGAGTGGACCTGGAAACACCAGTAATTAAGAAGTGGTTCCACGCTCCCTAAAACCTCCTGAGCGGAGGCCTTGCCATTGGATTTTGTTTACCGTCATACCCAGGACGCGGATGTAGTTTATCGTCTTACCCAGGATTGTCAAGAATGGTAATGATACTAAGCACTGATTAAGATCTTTTATCATTACCATCATCACTATCGAAATCAGTCTCTAGACGGCTTCAGGTGTCGAGGTGGGTGGGATTGAAAGTCAGAAGAAACAGACAACCTCCACTAGGAGGTTTGTGGGCGATGGCTCTCGGATATTCCGGCTTTGTAATGTTTTTTCACTCTGATGTTGTCAGAGTAGCTGTTGTGTTGCCGTCCCCGCTGGCGTCCAGCTTCAACAATGCCTTGCATGATGCTCCTGCAGAGACTGTTATGCCGTGTGACGTGACCGAAACATGCCATCGGTCGACGCTTAAATAGTGAAACGGAGAGATTGCTGTTAGACTTTTGACATTACTCCGTACATATTCAAATTATTCAGTAGGAAATGCGTTTGCGCTCTCTTAAACATTTGTTCTCGAACGGCTGGATCAATTTCCCTGTCTCAACTAGTAGTGTCCAAGTTGCACACCCGTAAAGGAGGATGAATACAACCAGGGATTTGTAAAGCTTTAACTTGATATAGAAGCTGATGTAGCTCTTCCATATCCTTTCCAGTGCTGTGGCTGTGGCGATCAATGTGCTGTTTTCTGCGTTGCAGTTACCATCTTTAGACAGGGTTGCTACCAAGTATTTGAAGCAGGATACTTCTTCCGGTGGTTCGGCGCCCATGGTAACGATCCGTGTGCTGATTTCTGCTCGTTGTAGGTTGCCATCTTTTGATGGGGGTTTTGTCGTCCATGGTAACGATCCGTGTGCTGATTTATGCGTTGCAGTATCTTTTGACAGGGGTTGCTTCCGGTGGTTTGTCGTCCATGGTAACGATCCGTGTTTCCGCATTGCAGATTCTCTTGCAGGGTTGCAGGTGAATCCATCTTTTCGATCAGGGTTGTGCTGATTTCCAAGGTATTTCTCTTGACAGGGTTGCAGGTTACTTCTTCCG